TTCCACTATGAATTTTACAGTGTCCAATTGTACAAATGAAAATCACATACCAAAGCTAGAATACTTATAACTAATTACTAAGTTATACACTTCATTATTTAACTACGAGTAGCTAGATTTTTCTTGATTAGGTCTTAGAAGATGAACTTAATTTTACTTTGTTGAATCATATGATTGTTTGATGTTAATTGAATGTTTGATTATATAATTTCTATTCGATTGCTTTTATTCTTAATGCTTTTTGTGTGTTGACGAGTGCGCAAAGAGAAATTACATGAGTATGGATTATCGATAGTAAGTCTACCGATCAAAAATAGACAATTGTTAAACTTAGTAGTTAACTAGGAATAAATGATTATAAGTTGTGTCTAGTGAATTAATGTATGTAGATTTCCTAGTTTTACTTCAAATTCACCTAAGGAATTTTAGTCTTAATTAGTGAATTGTACACCAAGGAATTGAGTACAATGATATTATTAATTCACCTTGGAATTATAAAGTCAATTCTATTTGAGTAATGCACAATCATCAATAGGGAAAAATTAAGATATTCAAATCAGATCTAATCGTTTTCTCATTTTCGTAACTTTTACCAATTTGTTTTTGCGTTTTTTTTGCAAACAAATATGAAAACCCCTAGTGTTTAATTTAAATTGTACAATTACAACCTTGTTCAATTTGCGATCCCCGTGGAAATGATCTTATATTATTACTTCGGTCGTACTAGTACATTTGCTAAGAAAGTCATTAAGTTTTTGACATCGTTGTCGTAGATTGTCGATAATTTCAACAATGCAATTTTGTGTGACAATTTTAATTTTAACTTTATTTTATTTTTTATTGTCTATTTTTATTTTATACTCTTATTCAGTTATAATTTGTGTTGTGCAATTGAGGTACTGTATGTTTATTTATGCGAGGTTCAAGTTTGAAACTAATAGCGTTATATTTAGAGATTGAAAGAATAATGTAAGCAATTCGAAAAGCAAAAAGAGAAGCACTAATAGCTAAATAAGAACTGAAGAAAGAGACAGCTAATCCACCATGACAAATGATGATGGACTTTTAGGGAGGACATATGCATGATAAATATTTTTATGATTGCAACCTACTGACATTGTAACATTTGATATTAAAAATTTTCTGCTTTCAGGTTTAAGAGATAATCCGTTTGACAAACAAGCTATCAAAAATCCTTGAGAGCCCTTGGCTAAGTTTTATGAGACTTGTTCGATGTACAAGCCAAAAGGCGTGACCAAAGATCATGTAAAATTACGAATGTGTTGGTTTTTCTTTGATAGGTTGAGCTAAGGGATGATTGTAATGCATTCCAAATGGTACGATCCAAACTTGGAAGGAATTAGAAGACAATTTCTTTGAGAGGTATTTCTATAATGCTTGGTTTGTAAATACGAATGTTGAAATTTCAAATTTTAATCAAGTTAATTCTGAGTCATTATCTAATGCACGAGAAAGATTCAAGTTGTTACTCTGAATGTGTTTGAATCATAAAACGAGTGACACGGAACAAATGACACATTTTATCAGAGGACTAAAAAGTTATACGAGAATACTTTTGGATGCCTCAGCGGGAGGTTCACTAAGAAGTAAGAATGAAGTCAAGGTAAATGAGTTGATTGAAAGATGTTCCAAAATGAGTATCGCTTAAGTGATCAGATAAAGAAATCCAAGGGTGTTTTAGAAGTATATTCTAATACAATAATGTTAGCTTAACTAGAGGTTATTTTCAAACAGTTAGCCACAACAACACTTGGTCAAGTAAACGTGAGTCATGTTCAGACCTTGGGTGTGATTTATGTGGCGAAAAACATACCAACAAAAACTGTGTACTATAGGGGGTTAACGTTGAAGCTCAAATTTCATAAGAATAATCCATATTCCAACACAAAAAATCTTGGTTGGAAACATCACCCAAACTTTAAGTGGAGCAATAATCAAGCTTTGAATTCAAATTAAGGAGTTCCATAAGTTCCTCAAGCACCACAACGGAAACCATCACCACTCGAAGAAGCTTTAGCCAAATTCATGAAAGCCACTCAGACAAGTTCTAAGCAACTTGGGAAAAAAATCAGGAAGCAATGTTTAAAACCCAAATGGAAATGACCAATAATCAAGATAAATGTGGGAAAAACCTTCCTTGGTCAGAGAGAAGTCATAGTCACCTATCTAATCCACGTATCCATATGAATTATAGATTCAACTATAAGTTCATAGTATGCCTAAGAGGGGGGGTGAATTAGGCTTTAGAAACTTTTTCCGGTTTTTCGATATTCTTGAAATTTACTTGGTTATGATCTTGATGATGAAAGCAGTAAAGGCAGAAAGAAAAATGAACACAGAGATTTATAGTGGTTCCCTTCACAATCCGAAGGTACTCCACTCCCCTTTCTACATGAAAGAGAGTTTTCACTATAGTTTTAGAATGTACAACCTATCACACCATCAACCGGTGAGGCCTACTATCTAACAACTATTTCAACAACTTAGTGTGCAAGAACAATCCTCTTGCAAGCACTAACCCTTGTGTCCAACAATCTTGGATCACAAGTCACAAAGAAATAATTCTTGTAATTTTGTAATTGAGAGTGATACAATAATAATATCAATACAAAGATTGATCTTCTCCTTTTGATCAAAAATCACTTTTCAATATCAATACAAGTGTTCAAAAATTCTGGATATGAAATGGTATGAACGATATGAACACTTTTTGAAAATATTTGAAAAGTAGTGAATTTGATTTAATGATTATTTTGAAAATTATTGGAGGTGTTTTTCAATTTGAAATTTTCAGAATTTATATGAGTCAAACACCATTTCAAAAAGGTATAATTGAGTATGAATCAAATAATGAAAAGGTATAACATTCAAACAAAATTTGAATTTAAAAAGAAACAATTTTTCAAAATTCGTTCAGTGTTAATCGGTTAACACTTGAACGTTAGCCCTGAGAATTCAAAATTTAAGGCCGCTAACCGATTAACCCATATGGTTAATCGGTTAACACTATTAAAACTCAGAAAAATACTTGAGTTAAAAAGTGTTATACCAATTCAAATGATTTTTAAAACTATGCACGTGCAAAATGTTGATATGATAAATTATTTGAACACTTGTATATCAATTAAATGAGTGAATATTGATATACCGAAGCTTGAGTCCAAATCTTGAAAGTTGAATGATCATTTGTACATGATGCTTGATTTGCTTGACAACATTCCATAGTTTTGATCTTGATCAGTTTAGAAAGCTTGACTTTTTGTAATCATGGAATGAGCTTAGGTCTTTGTTGACATCATCAAAACCTTGAGATTGAAGTGTGCTTCTACATCAACGATACATTATTGACTGAGTGGACAATTATCATTTCCGAGGAACCTTAGGCCCAAAAGGCCTATATAAACACCCCTTAATTAGAAGAAAAGATAGAAACATCATTACTTAACCTACATAACACATAAACACAAAATTTATCACTTCATGTGAGCCGACCCTCTCTCACCAACATAAACACTACCAAATAGTGTATTTCCCCGTTGCAGGCAAACACTATAAGTTATAAAACTAGCCTCTAGTCATCCCTACTAACTTAGAGGTACCACACACTCCTGTACTTTTTGACAAATACACCATGAATTGATTAAGGATAGATGTCTAGTTCCCTTACAATAGATCCTCCTTAAGTGAATTTGATTCAATAATGTGAATCATGTGATCCTCTTAATTTTGCTGTGTAAATGAACTTACTCTTATAATTATTCAATTTTATTTAAACTTAATGTTTTTCTTTCATCTACAAAATTGATAGAATTGATTTAGATAACAATAAGAAATAGCTGTAGATTTGCATATCAAAACTAAATAAGATTATGAAACTGTTTATAATTGCTATACATATGATATAATTAATCGAGACATAATTATTTTTATGTGTGATAAACCTTTTTCGATTTTGATTATTAAGGAAATGACAATAACCAAAAAAGTTATCCCACAATAAAATCATTTGAAACTATTTTATAAAATAGTTGTCAATTAAGCTAATAAATTTAGTTTAAAATACCCAGAAGAATATACAATTCGTGTGTATATTTATTTTATATTCATTAATGTTCTAATATGATGATAGAAAATTGGTTCACATAAATGACTTAGATCTATCTATGTGACTTCCACTCATTGCATGACATGGTTTAAAATGAAGAAAGAAAAACGTTAAAGGCATGCTACATGTTACAGAAAACTTTTAAAAAGAGGCAAATTCTTACCCTTTATGTGGAATCTAGCTTATACAAAGAAACACGTTAGCTTAAGTAGCATGTTACTTAATGTACGTATCCTAAATTCATCTTTAATGGGGTTCACATGGCAAAGCCGTTTGGCCAGTTACGATCTTCATTTTGGTCCCACATTTGCCCAAAACGACATCGCACCATCATGATTCACCACCATCCACCATAATCACAGCCACCCTCCGGTCCACTCTACTAATATGATTATTTTTTTTTCAAAAAACAAACATATCCGGTGAGGCAAATCCCCCTCTCTAATTTTATGTGCGCAATTATAAAAAATAATTTTTTAAACTGAATAAATAAAATATATGTGATATTCTACGCGCAACAGTAGAGTTTAATCTTTTAAAAATATATATATATATATATATATATATATATACTGACATTGTAAAATATTTTTACACTGTCCTAATAACAAATATATATTCAGCCACATCACATTTTTATTTTTAAAATACTTTGTGACTTTAAAATAATAATTTTATTGTGTTAAGAGTTTTCTTACTATTAAAATGAGCTATTAGTAATTTTGTATTAGAAAATTGAAATAGAAAAACAAGCGTCCTACACTTGACTTTCACACTCCATTGTCAGAAGAAGAAAATGGCCAAACTCAGAAATCTGAAACAACCATTGTTTCTATAACTCCTCCTTCTTCCACCTTCATCCACTTCAACATCAATGGCTTCGGCAATGGAATGTTGGTCCAGACGTGGCAGCAGCAACAATAACAACGACGAAGACATGGTAGAACAAGTCCTCATGGACACCAACCACCAATCTTCACAATCACAACACAACAACAAAGACTCTTCCGTTATCCACAAGAAGTTCAACAAACTCACTCGCAATGTTTCTGAAGCTATTGCTTCCCTCAAAAACACCCTCAATATCAACCTTAACCTTGATTCTTCCAAACCCGACAACAACAACAACAACAACACTTCTCGTACTAGCAACAATCTCGTTTGGGGAACTGTTGTTCGAAACCTTACTCAGCTTTATCCTGGTAGCCAGCTTCCTGAGAAGCTTATGTCCAACATTCGTAAACACTATGATTCCTTGCCTCCTAGGTACTTGTTTCGATCTTAGCTTTTGGTTTTACTATTTGTTTTTGTGATGGGTTTTTCATTTTTCGTCTAAAATTTGTATCTTTTGACTTGGGCTTTGATCCAATCTGAAGATTCAATTGCATAGTTTTTGATCTGTTTTAAGGTTATTTCACTAAAGGGTTTTGTAAAACTTTGGTAAATGTGTTTGCTTCTAATGTTTGTATCAAGCAAGTGTTTGTGTTTGAATATGAATCAGTGAATGTTAAATTTAAGATTCAGTTGCATAGTTTTGGTTGTGTTTAATGTTGCTCCACTAAAAAGGTTTTGATTTTGAAAAGTTATAAAGTTTGATTCATTCAGCTTCGATTATGTTCTGATCTGATTTTGATTTCCATGTGAAGATTCATTAGTTCTGAAGTTTGCAGCTTTGATTTTTAAATTTTTTGGGCAGTTATTCACAGGCGGGATTTGATGTTAAAGATGTGTTTCTTCACATCAAGTTAATGGAGCAAGCTTTGGAAGATTCACAGGCTGCGATTTTGATTGAGGAGGAGTGTGATGGTGAGATGCCGCTTCAGGGGTCTTTGTTCAAGTTGACATTTGCTTGTAACTCTCCGATTTCATGGCCTGCAATGTCGAGTGCGTTGGATAGTTCCTCCATTTGCTGCAAGAAGATTCAGATCTTTGAGAAGAAAGGCCTCACCCTTGGAATTGTACTTCTACTTGTTCTTTCTGGGGCTGGTCAAGATAACTTGGTAAGGACCCGGGTAGAAAGTGCTCTCAAGTTTTCCATGAAGAAGCCTAAAGTTAGTGTTGTGAAGCTTCCTTTTGGGCTTTGTGGATGTCAAGAGGAGAATTTCAAGGGGAGAGAACGTGGAGAGATTGAAGAAGATTGCAGCGGTGTATACTGTGAAAATACGAGCCAAAAGATTCAGCTTGAAATGCCCTTGCCTAATTCATCGTTTCACGTATCGGTAGATGAGTGGCAGACTATTCAGACAGATGCAGACGAGGTACAAAAATGGTTGTTGAACTCGGATAGTCTAGAGTTTTTGGAACAGATTGGTCACAATTCCTATAAAGGTGCCTACATGGGGAAAAAGGTTGGCATTGAGAAGCTTAGAGGGTGTGACAAAGGAAACTTGTACGAGTTTGCGCTTAGGAAAGATCTCCTAGAACTGATGACATGTGGGCATAAAAACATTTTGCAGTTTTGTGGTGTTTGTGTAGATGACAATCACGGGTTATGTGTAGTGACAAAATTCATGGAAGGTGGATCTGTCCATGACTTAATTTCAAAGAACAAGAAGCTTCAGAGCAAGGATATTGTAAGAATTGCAGTTGACGTGGCCGAGGGGATCAAGTTTATGAACGATCATGGTGCTGCATATAGAGACCTTAATACTCAGAGGATTCTGTTGGATAAACATGGGAGTGCTTGCTTGGGTGATTTGGGTATAGTCACTGCCTGCAAGAGCAACCAAGAGGCAATGGACTATGAAACCGATGGTTACCGATGGCTAGCTCCCGAGGTATCCCCCTAATCACACTTATTTTAAGTTAGCAAAATGATAGCTGAATATGAAAGTTGTGTTGTGCTATTGTGTCCATATTCCTTTAGTTTTAGTTCTTGCTATGAGTACTATATTGGATTAGATAAGACCTAAAAATAAGCTTATAAACGAGAGGCACCGCTCTTTCAACAAGCTGATGTTGTAAGGTTTAAGTTAGACTCGGCTCAAATTCTAAGATGATATCAGAGTCTATCTAAGATCTGTTGGGTCATGTGCTGCCGGATCACTCAACTCACGCTCAAGATGTCCAACCACGAGTGTAACGGGTATAATGGATGACATATGACCTGAAAATGAGTTTGTAAGTGGGAGACAACGCTCACTCACAAGCCAATTTTATAGGGGTTGATTTAAGGCACAATCCAAATCTTTACCATGATGCCTGTCCTAATATGTTAGTTATTTGTCATATCAATAAATCTCCCCTAAAGCTTTCATACCTTAACTGACTTGTTTTTCATTTCTCATTTTGGTTGACAACAGATAATCGCCGGCGACCCCGAGAGTGTTACCGAGACATGGATGAGTAATGTTTATAGTTTTGGGATGGTAGTTTGGGAGATGGTAACTGGTGAAGCAGCCTATACTGCCTATTCACCTGTGCAGGCAGCAGTAGGCATTGCTGCCTGTGGCCTTAGACCTGAGATCCCAAAGGAATGTCCACAAACTCTAAAATCTCTAATGACAAAATGCTGGAACAACACCCCTTCAAAACGCCCCGAATTCTCCGAAATTTTAGCAATATTGCTGCGAGCAACCAAACAACAACAATAGAGTTGGTCATTGTGGAATCTAATATGTTGATAGTAATTGAAGGGGAGTTTCATGCACAATCATGAATCCATCCCTGTATGCTTTTGTAACTGCAATGAAGATGTAAAAATGTTTTCATTCCTTGTTGGACAATTTTGTACTTTTTCTTTTATGTTGTCTTAGCCATCATGAATCTACTATTTTTCATGTTTTGTGATGGCAACATGAATGATGGAAATATTTAAACAGTGTCAAATTGTTTTGCTGTGAGGAAACTAGGATTTTTGTTTTGTTTGTTTAGTGCTTATCCTAAGGGTCCCATTTGAGATTATGTTGCTTTATATGTGAAACTGTCAAGGTCATTGTCTCTCTTTTTCATGATATATTCACCTTTTTCATCTTTTAAGGAAGAAATCAAGGTAACCCTTTTTCTCTTTTTGATAGATGAAATCATTAGACATTCTTCTTAGTGTTCATGCTGAAATCATTAGATATTGATTGTGGGGCATGATGCATGTGAACGTAACACAAATTTCTTGATTTGTAACTGTTAGAATTTTATATAAACAAGTCATAACTTAGACATTTTACACAAACAAGTCTAATACTTTTGTGGGCAATAAATGTCTAAGACATTTCCAATTCAACCAAACATTATCATTGAAAACTTTAATATTCCTCTCTCTCCATACACTCCAACAAGTTATCATGAAGTGAGTTTCACTTTAAAAGCAAGTGTTAAGCATGAAGATGAAAAGTTTGGGGAAGATACTTGTGTAGCAAGCTAATTATAGTGTGACTTTTAGTAAGTTAATCATAACTAACTTTCACAAGTTGGTTATGCGTAAGTTAAAAGTTAGTTAGGAGATATAACTTACTCATAATACTATATATAATAAATGTAATAACATCATAAAAGTTAGATTTGTGAAATGCAATTTCTAATTACATTGCAACTTTTCTTTTTTCTTCTTCTTCTTTTTTGTTCTTGTTTTTTTAGCTTTCACATGGTATCATAAATCTGTGGCACTGGATTCACCATTGTCGTTGCATTCTCTTTTTTAGCTTCACAAATCTTGGTATGATTCCTTCTTTTTCATTGTTCCTTATTTTAGATTTTCTTTTCAATAGTGTCTGTTGAAAGTTCATCTAGTACCAACGATGGTCATTCTTCATCACACCATAAAAATGGCGTTCCTTCATCTTCAAACCCTAATAAGAATTATCAAAATGATACCTTAAATCCCAATTTCATGCATCCCAATGAAAATCCGACTCTTGTTTTAGTTACAACTCTGTTGGATGCTTGAAATTATCATTTTTGGTCTCAATCCATGACAATGGCTTTAAGGTCCAAGAATAAGGTTCATTTCGTCAATGGAGCATTGACAAGACCACCAAATGAAGATTTGATTCAATAGCTTTAGATATGTGCAACATTATGATCCTGTCGTGGCTAAGCAATTCAGTCAAATCTGAAATTTCTCATAGCATCTTATGGCTGGAGATTGCATCTAACATTTGGAAGAAGTTGAAAGATAGACTCATGGTAATATATTTATAATCTCGAATATTCAAGAAGAGATTTTCACTTTAGAACAAGGTGATTGCTCAGGGTAGATGTTGTTATTCTTTCTGATAATCTCAGGGTAGAGGTAATTATTATTTTTGTGGCAAAAGTATTAAAGGTGGTCGACAATGTGGTGGTTGAGGAAGAGAAATTTGATTTTGCACACATCATTATCTGACGTTAATTTAATGGCCAAAACTTCGTAGTTCACAATTTTGTCAAACTCAGAATTTTCCAAGTTTGGTGAATCCTCAAATTCATATACCCCCCATTTTTTGACATTGGCAGTGTCTCTTGAGGATTTTCTTCTGAGAATGATTTCTCTTTGACCTCGACTAAATCTTCTAACATTTCCTTAGAGATTTTGTATCTTGAGGCTATTTGACAAGTCATTGGCTTCTTAATTTTCTAGTCGAGGAATGTGGTCAATCGAAATGTGATCAAAACGTTTCAGCAAAGAGTTAGCTCTAACAAAATCTGCAGGCCCGTTATCAAGGCCTCATATTCAACCTCATTATTGGAGCATGACCCTTCGATCTTATACCTAAACTTGTTCGGTATGTTTTTCAACGAAAGGATAAAGACTCCTACACCGATTCCATCTTTATGTTTGGAATCGTCAAAATACAACCTCCAAGGCCTAGTTCCTACGTATGCCTCAATTGTTTCGACCATTGAATAGTCAACAATACAGTCGACAACGATTTGTCCTTTTACTACTTTCAAAGGAAAATAGTTCAATGAATATTCAGTAAGCGCTAAGGCCCACTTTCCTATTCGAATATTCAATTTAGGCTTTGATAACATATGTTTAATAACGTCGAAATGCGAGTAGACATAAACTTCCACTAGTTTAATATAATGTTTCAATTTTGTAGATGAAAAGTATAGGCACAAACATAATTTTTCAATCGGGTTATACATAGTCTATGTGTCTATTAAGATTCAACTGAGGTAATATATGGCTCTTTCGATGCCATTTTCATCCTCTTAAGCTTTCGATCGAATCTGACGCGACTATGTACAGTTTCATGCTCCTATTTCTACTTGGAGGTAACAATACTGAAGGTTTCATCAGATATTTCCTGATGTTATCAAACGCCTCTTGCTGCTCACTGTTGCACCCCAAAATTTGACCAACAATTATTCATTCATTGAGTGTTTGAAAGTTGATACCTTCATCAGAAAGTTCAAGAGATCCTCAGAGGAATTGATTGAAACCAGGGTTGTGTGCTTCATAGCTTGAGAGTTGTGGGTGCTCCCCAGATGATTCTGAGACTTTGAGAATGAACTTGATGTTTTGAGAAAGCCTATGAGATGTCTTGATAGCTTTCATGAAGCCCAAAGAAGTCATTGTGTAAGAGTTCAGAAGATTCAACCATGAATGATAGAATTAGGGTTTTGACTGGGTCAACCCTAGGATAACTGAAGATTTGGAGAAGGTTGAGACCTAATCCAGGGGCCATGAGATCATGGAATGATGTATGGAGATGTTATAAAGATGATTCCTAGACCAAATCATCATGATTGAAGAGTTTGAGAAGTTTCAAGTCAGGGTCCCTAAGGATTGTCAGTGGAAAAACCCTAATTTGATCCCTATTTTCCAGGCAGTTTTATCTCTAGATGTGATTGATATCTCATCTTCCCCACAACATGAATGTTGTAGAGCTTGTTCTTAGCTTTAATTTGAGTGGTGGAAGTCCTTGATAGGAGTTACAGAGCTCAAGTTATGGTTTTGACAAATTACAGGTCAGCAGAGGTGTGTGAATCTGGGTCCTTGAAAGTCACCCAACTTGCAGACAACTTTTGCCCTAGTAGGATGATTCCTATGATCTCTTGGTCAACATGAGTGTTGGAGGGCATCTTCTTAGCTTTAATTTGAGTGGTAGAAGTCCTTGAGAGGATTTGTGGAACTCAACTTATGGTTTGAACAAGGCAGGGGTATTTTGGTCATTTGTCAGTTATAGGTCATTTTAGCCAATGCCTAAAACTCCTATTTCCAAGCCTCAAATGGAAAAACTCAAAACATGAAAGTTGCTCAAAATGTGATTTTAAGTCTAGAAAGAAGGTCACAAATTGTTGAAAAAGCTCATAGCACAAGATTACATGATTGATCAAAAATGAACTAAAAAAGGCTTATAACTTTGAAAAGTTGAAATTGAAAAGTGATTTGGAAGATCCACAAATCCAAAATAGGTCATCCAATATATCATTTTGATTGGAAAAACCATTTTAAGAACTTTGGTTTAAATAGATTTTTCATTTGAGGCTTAAAAAATGAGGTTCCTTTGGAAATTTGTTGCTTACAAAAGAAGGTAACATTGAAAAACCCTACACAAGTGAAACTAAAGGCTGATTTGCATTCCTTATCACTCAATAACTCATGTAAGGACAATTTGGCATAGAATTGAAGGCTTGAAGCAAGGGATATGATATTTTCAACTTCTCATTCAAGGAGAAGTTCATGACTTTTCTAGATGGTTCTAGACACTTCTAGCCACATCCAATGATTGTTATATAAAGAGTGCATTGTGGAGAGTCTAAGGTTGGTGAAACTTGAGCCAAGTCAGAGGAGAGAGAGAGATACATAGCCATTGAAGCCATTTCTTCAAGTTGAAGCAATTTGAGTTTTCTTCCACTACAAGCATCCTCCTTCCATACAAGTGCATACAGAAGACATTCCACCATTAGTAGGGCATTGTTGAGAGGTTACAAGCTCTGGATCGTGCTCAGCATCACCTCATCTCATCTTCTTGACAGGTTCTTTCTTCCCCTTTGCATCTCTTAATTTAATGAGTTTCAATTAGTTTTATAGCCATAGAATTAATGTGTTAGGGTAGAGGATCAATCCCTGAGAGTTGCAGCCTGTTCCATGAGGTTCCATGGCAGGACCAGAAATCTTTGATTTGCAAGAATGGTTTGAGTTAGGAGTTTTAATCATCAAGAATTAGTGTATAATAGCCAGGATAACATCAAGAACATGATTGCATCATTATACTGAAGTTTAATGAAGGTTGATCTCAGTTGATATCAGATAGCCATGGTTGTACCAAGATGTTTAAGCATTCTGTTGGAATTATGGAGAGCGAATCAGGGAAAACTAATCGTACCATTTTATTCTAGGCATTTAGTAGAGCAAGTTTCGTGTTTGGGGCGTGTGAAATCATGGCGTGTGGAGAGAGTTAGAGGAGCTCGAAGTTTCGGGCATGGAGGAGGGGTTTGCAGGTTAGGGTTTGGTCCAAGGAAGAAGAAGGGTTCGTGGCCGTTGGATGGAAGTCAAGGGATTGACTGGGGGAGCGATCGTGTGGCTGTGGTTAAGTCTGAGAGTGAGAGGGAAATTCAAATAATCCCAAACGCTGCGTTTCATTAAACCAGCGCTGGGCCCAGAATTCTATCCCCACCCCCCTTATTGCTGGCCCATTTATTTTGAACTAGCGCGTGTGCTTGTTGC